GAGTTCGCATCCTACTGATAATGGTCTCTATCAGTTGGGCCAGGGACAGGCCAAACCGGCTGCCCCTCCTCTGTCCCTCCTCTTCCTATAGCGTGTATGTCCCTAGATCACCCCCTCCCATCACTGTAATACCTGTAGCACAACCCTTTCCTGTGACATATGTCTTCACCTGTAATGTGGGGGCTCAAACGTCCCCAGAGAGTATAAAAGCTTGCAGAGCATTAAAATTCTCTCTCTCTCCACGTGAATTACCAAGCGGGGCTGAGGTGAGCAATGCTACCATGAAATGTGTCTGACTCCATTTATTTCTATATATCTCTTTTATCTCTCATGCTCTCTATAACTTTACTATAATATTTACTTATTATCGCTGTACAATTGCGCCTATTGAACCCGTATGATTGTGCTAGGAGCTGGTTTCTTCTGGCACAACGGCTACTCACAGTCCGTTGTGTACCCTCCCAGACTTCTTCTACGGTATCCCAACTCCATGTTAACAGAACACAGTTACAAACATTCTTAGGGATTTTTAAAGAGTGGCATGAAAAAGATCACATCGCTTCTTTCGATAATGTAACCCATTGCCTACAAGGTACATATGTAAAGGTTTTAGTTATAACTTTGTTAACCTAACTTTCTACTTCAACTTAAGCTCGCTGCTTAGTCTGAGAGACTTTGCAGGAAAAAAAATAAACAGTTGGATTGTTCTCCTTGTATATTTCTCCTCATTATTAATAATAGATATGAGAACATCTGTCTGACTCCTTGTCTTTGGGTAAATCCTACAAACTCTTTCGGTATTTCCCTAGATTTAATCTTTCAGCTCTTTAAAAAAAAAAAAAAATCCTCCAAGTGATTTATAAGTCAGAGATACCCAAATAATTACAGGTGTTTACTAAAGGCTAAACGGATGGTCAGATGACCTGAATCTCACATGTAATGTTAGGCTTACATGTTAATCATCATGCCAGCCGTTCTTAAGGACAGAGACATGGATTAATCATTGTCATTATGGTCCAGTCTGCCACCAAGATTTTGTTTCTTTAGATTTGGACAAGAATCCCCTTCTCTCTTTTTTGTTTCTATGTTTTGATCTCTTTCTTTCCTAGATGAAAGATCCTAAATTTGCTTTTATTGACATAAGTTTATTTGGCATATTTGGATTCCAATTGCAACACCAAATATTTTAAAGTTAAGTCTTCGTTAAAATTACAACAGGATTTTGTAGGCTACATGTTTCAATGGTTCTTTCTAAAAGATTGTTGATAAAACTGGATAAGGTATTTTTTGTTTAGAAACAAAATATTTAGACATCTGTGATCATGAAATTTCAATTACATGTACACTTATTCTGTACTTTGCTCATGATGACAGAGCTCAGTTTCTACAACTACAGAGACTTTTCTGTAAAACTCAGGTTTCATTACTTATCTTCCGAGGGCTGTTTGGTATTTTATACTTTGTAGACTACCTGTGTTTGATATAGGAAATATATTTGTTGCAATGTTTGCTATGACGAGTTGCATCTGAACCCTTTAACAAACATGGAACAAACAAGTATTGTTCTCAGAATTATTTCCTAAAAAAAAAAAATCTTGGCTTTGCCATGGTAGATGTGGGATGGACAATCATTTCTTAATCTGGTTGGGTTATGCAATTTCCTCAGTGTCATTACCAGACTTGAGATGACAGAACGCTACAGCGTATATACAGAACTATATATACTCTTGTCCAATTCCCATCAAAATCAGTTGGAAAAACTATTTGGGTGAAGTCTTTGAGGCACATGGTCTGTATGCCTGTTTATCTGGGTTTTATCCCTGAAGGAACATGCTAGAGCAACACCATCTGGCTCCTGCTCATGCCTTTCACAGTGCATTTTGGAAGAATGCCCTTATATTTAAAGATGGCATTTTAAGAGTCTGTAATATATGTTATTCACTGATGCTGTTCACAGACTTTCAGATTTTCCTTTTTCTGAAAAATTGGTAAATATTTTTCATTTCTATCCATTCGAAAGTAGTTAGCACCATGGACCTTGCTTAAGTGGTGGCACAGAGGATTATGTACTGAGCTGCTACTACAAGGTCAGCTCCACGAAGCCTTAACATTACGGGAAAGGTCTCTTTGTAGTTGTGGCTCTGCTGCACAACAGGAGAAAGCTGAGGCTGTCTACTTCTGTGAAGAAGTAAGGTCTTGGAAACCCAAATGGGCAGTCCTACTCTGTTCTAGGGTTGCTGTGAGTCAGGAAACGGCTTGATGGCGGTGAGTGACTGGCCTTGCTCTGGCCGATGAAAAGTAGGCAGAGGTAGGGTTTGTCCTTCCCATGTGCAAGTTCTAAGACCTAGTCTGCCATTTTACACTGTCCCTTTCCATTCACGAAGGTCATGCAAAATGATGTGGATGAATTCGTGATTTCTTCCCTTGCACTTTTCATTTCTAGTATCTCTTTTCCTAAAGTACTGACCATTTGGAGTTTCTTTATGATTCTGTAGAACGCTTATCCCAAACACTTCACAGGACAGAGTTGAGGTCTATCTTTCTCCTATGGAATGGCAGGTGTGTTTGAACCACTGCCCTCCCCAATACTAGCCAGATACTTTAACCATCACACCATCAGGGTTCTATATGAACACTTCATGAAAGAGGTAAACTACACATACATTTGGATTTAATCATGCCATTGGAAGAGCACTAATCTCAGTTTGGGCTGATACTGTTTATGAAGAGCAAAATGGCCTTTACACATCTGACAAGGAGCCCTCGGGATATCATGGTTCCACATTTGGCAATTAGTTGAAAGGTTAAGTTTGAACCCACTAGTCACTCCGTGGGAGAAATGAGTTGGCGATCTGTTCTTATAGATGGATCACAGCCCAGCAAACGCTAGGGGGAAGAGCTACTCTGTCGTACAGGGTCACCATGAGTCAGCACTGACTCACTGGCACACAATGACGACGATGCATTAAACCAGTCACGTAGGTGTTGGACTGCTGACAGTAACGGTGATGGTTCAAACCCATCAGCTGCTCCCTGGGAGAAAGATGAGGCTGTGTGCTTCTGTGAAGGTGTACAGCCTGAGAAACCCTACACAGGGTCGCTGTGAGCTGGAACTGACTCAATGGCAGTGGCTGTGGATTTCTAAGTCACAAGGACTTCATAGTCACAAGAGACTGGGAAAGCAAGGCAGGAACCCATGGCTGAGAACCCCCCAAACCAAAAAACCAAAGGGCCACGCTTTATTCTCTGCGTTAACCTGCATACAGAGGACTGACAGTATCCACTCCTCAGTTATCTACCTGGTTAGGTGACAAAGACCAGGCAGGCTGCTATGTGAACCATCGGTGTCCAGTGAAAAGGGAACTTGCATTAACGTCACCTCAGACCTCCAGTTCATGGCTGCTCTAAGTATGTCACTAATGCAAAAACTAGTTGGATAGTAGAGTTTACATTATTGTCTTTCGTAAAGGTGAAATGTTGACCAACTAGAGAGTTCAAATATAAGGAAGAGGTATACACGCTGAGTCTGTGGTTCTCATAGGTGGGTTTTTTAGGGGGTAGAACAGGGGCTTTCCCCAGGAAATCTTTTCTTTAAAGAGAAATCTAAGCTGAAGAGAAACATATAATTTTTCATGTGGGACTACTCTGGGGCAAGCATCCCTGGGTGGTGCCAATGGTTAGTGTGCTTGGCTGAGAACGGAAAGGCTGGAGGAGCTCTGAGCTCACCTGACATGCCTCGGAGGAAAGGCTGGGTGATCTGCATCAGAACAAGCAGTCACTGGAAACCCAATGAAGCACAGATCTACTCTGACATGGGATGTCACCATGAACGAAACTGCCTAGACACACCTGGTTTGCCCTGAGGGTTTTACACCAGCCTTTTTCACCGCTGGGCCTTCTCTTTGGCCCGCCCACCACTTCTCGAGTCCTCCCAAAGTCACCGAACAAGTCAGAGCAGACTCCTAGTGCTTTGTGGAACAGTTTGAAACTATTTCAGGACCAAAAGCAAAAAACGAATAGATCAAGTGGGAATGTCTTGAAAACTAATACTAAAATAGCTGGAAGGGATAGTTAGTACAGTAGAATTGTTTAGGGAAAAAAGAAAGGAAATGTATACTCAAAATTACCTTGATCCTGACTTCTTTCTCAACAGTTTTCTTTTGTTTGTCTGCCTCTTTTTTCTTACATCTTTCTTCTTCTCTTCTTTTCCTTTTCTCTTCTTCCCGCAAGCGTTTCTTTTCTAACTCTCTCCTCCTTCGTTCTTCTCGCTTCTCTTCTCGAATTCGCTACAGTTATGGAAAAGTATGTGTATAAATTGTCTGAAGAAAATGGCAAAAACAGGACAGATATTCATCAGGTGAAAGGCCATACCTACCTGCTTCTCTAATTTTCTATTTTTAATATATTCCAAAAGAGGTGTAGTTCTTCTAGCTAAAACAGAAAATTGTAACGTAGTATTTAACTTCTATAATAAAATTTCTCTTCTTCACTTTAAATGTTTCCAATTTAATATTTAAAATTATTAGAGGAATACTATGATTATTTTTTAAAGTTACACAAGCATCCACTGTATACTGAGGAGATTTTACTCCACCCCACATAGCCAAGTAATGTTAAGAAGACTGACAATTTAAAGCATACTAAAATCAAACCCAAGCCCAAACTCAAAACCTTTGCCAATGCGTCAATCCTGATTGGAATGTATTCTTCAGGTCTTACAGAACACAGACTACATGGAGAAGGAAGATTCACTGGATACACAAGAGAGCTGATATGACATTTCCAGAATTCCTGGAGCAGAAATGAATTAGGACCATGAGGTTTACTCAGGAGTGGGAGAGTCCCTAAGCTGGCAATTCTTAACTTGGAATCAAGGATTCATCAACACTTAAAAATTGTGTGTGACATTATGAATAATTATGACTATGAATATTTTTCTAGAGAAAAACTTTCATTTGATTTCTGTGACCCTAGGAAATTGGGAATAAGTGTTCACGGCCTTCTATGGTGTCTTTCAGCCTGCTGCTAGAACTAAACCGGTTTCCCAGTGTGGAAGATGGCCAGCCAGCTCTTCTTTCGTAGGTGGACCGCAGGTAGTGAGACCTGTTGAAGGTACACACAAATACAAGGTGCCATGAGAACTGTGCTACCTGCCAGGGGTGGATCCTGGGCGACAGTGAATTCTGGCTCAGAATGATTAAAGTTGGCTCATGGCCGTCAACAATCAGCCCTTATAAGAGGCAGATCATCCCAAATTAGTGAGAATTTGTAAAAAATTCTGAAAGCATGATGGATGTGCAACATGTCGTCACTGAACTGTACATGTATAAACACTGAAATGGCAAACGGTTCATTATATGTAGGCGTACCCATTGCTATAGAGTCCATTAGACCCACAGTGAGTCAGCAGAGCAGAGTAGAACTGCCCTGTAAGGGTTTCCAAGGCTGGACATCTTACTGAAGCAGACTGTCACAGTTTTCTCCCATGGAGCAGCTGGTGGGCTCAAGCCACTGACCTTTTAGTTGGCAGCCTGGCACTTAACCACTGTGCCACTAGGGCTCCTGGTGTTTACCACACACAGACTCAGCACTGTGTACCAGGCCCTGAGCAAGGGGAGATGAATGAGGCATGTCCTTGTACAGGAGCAGTGCTAAGTTTTGCAGGGTGGGCCTACCTTTAAAGATGTGTCAATACTACTGTGATATGGCAAAGCCCTGTCTCTTTTCCTGTGTGTGACCTGTGGAAGAGGGTATTCAAAGCAGAGTCACAAAGAACTGAGGGTAGGGGGAAGATGGGTTTGGCAATAATTTCTACTTTGCATTTTCTTAAATTTAACATGCTCTAAAGTAAATTCTCAGTCTTGCTCCCAATATTGTTTTACTTTGGTGGCTTGCATGTTGCTGTAAAGCTGGAAGCTCTGCCACTAGTGTTTCAAATTCCAGTAAGGCCGTCCACGGGGGACAGGGCTCAGCAGAGCACCCAGACGAAGAACAGAGTAGGAGGAAGGAAGTGGTCCAATTCTGTAAAAATCAGCTACTAAAACCCTTACGAAAAGCAGTGGACTATTCTCTGGTATAGTGCCCTGCAGATTGGAAGCACTTAAAATATGACTGGTGGTTCTGAACTGCTGCCACTGTAGTTAACAGCCCAAAGAATAACCACTAATAAATATTTACTTTCAGTGATTAAAAACCCTTTGAGCTACACATTAAATTAGCTATTATAAAATGTAAAAAATTTGTGATTACACTATGAAGGTTTATAGACTCTATTTCAATAAAATTAACCATTCTCATTAATTTACTCAACAAACATTTACTGAAGCAGTGTCCTGACAATGGACCCTGAAGTGCAGGGATGGCGTAGAGCGGAGATGGACAAATGCACATAAAAATGAGAAACAATGTCGCTGTGGTTAGCATCTCAGTGCTTAGCTCCCTGTGCCACTCGGGTTCCTCAGAAGGTCTTACGAGTAAGACAGAGCCAAGGGGATGAGGTAGAGTGGAAGGGGCTAAGGAAGTCACCAGGGCCTTGAGAGACTAGCTTGCAGCAGAAACAAAGAGAGAAGAGGTACGAGAAGGTAGGCTTGGGAACTACAGGCTGGGTGCTTGTGAATGGCTAACAGAGGTTCATATCCACTCGAGGTTTTGGGGGACTGCTACTAGGTTGGTGGTTCAATCTCACCAGCTGCTTCAAGGGAGAAAGATGAGGCTACCTGCTCCTGTAGAGGTTCACGGCTTCTGAAACACTATGTAGTGTAGCTGTGAGTCAGTAATTGGCAAACAACAACAAAGAGACAATCATTTCTAAAAACAACCATTGCAGGTGTAAGGGTGAAAGGCCAGGCTTTTAAGCACATTCAGCAGGGTTCCTTCCCTAGTTTGGTTTGTCCAGGGGCTTGACTTGTTTTATAGCGGCAGTAAGTTACCTCTTACTTAAGCCAAGTGTTTCATTTCTAGGGGCTCCTGAGGTGTCCAATTTGACTATACCCTTTGCTGAGACTGTGAGCATGGTCCTCCTTCCCGAACACCACAGGGCACAGCCTTCCGAGGTCTTACTCGCGGCTTACGTTAGAACACAGGGAGGCATTGCAACTCTAAAACAAAACAGTCCTAACTGTGTAGGCACTCACTTTCAACAAATGCTCCAAGATTATTTTCTATGCCTTCTGTCAAAAGAGAAATAAACATCTGCCAAGCCTGTAACATGTTACAATGGTTTATAATAATCATGAGAAATAAAAAAGTATATACGCAAATACATATACTTCCATAAAGTCAATAGAAGAAACGAGCAAAACAGACCCATGAGTTCTCGTGCCTTTGCCTCTATCTCTCCCAGGAGAGTTTCGGGACTGGTACTAGTTTTCTCCTCCTCTGTGCAGTAATTTTCTAAAAACTTCTTATATTCTGGATCTGTAGGGTTAAGAAAAGAAGTCAAGGAAAACACTCCTCAACACGCATGGGAGAGGAACTCGATTTGACCAGTGTATTTAAAATGGTTGGTTCATAATCCAGGATTTGTAAAGAGCTTACCATCCTCAATGCTCCCAGTTTTGACATCTTTTTTCTTTAGCTTCTTTTTGGATATCTTTTGGAATGGAGCAAATTCTACCACTGCAGGGTATTCTAGGCCTTTAACAGAAAATAAATTCCAAAAACCACTCTCAAATTCATTTTAGAAAACAATGGTGTACTTTACCTACAGGGTTAAGGGCAATAATGATAATGCAATATTACCGCTTTATAGTATAATCTATAGTCATGTGCCACATAACATCTGTTCAGGCAATAGCTGATAGCGCATATGTCTGTGGTCCCAATACCCATAAAATCTATTAAATTAATAAAATTTTTAGTATAGTCAACGGTATGTAAAAACAAATGGGTGTTACTTTGTGACATTCATCAACATATGCTTATCACCTTAAGGAATTTTTCTCTATCAGGAAGTGTTTCTTTAATGATTTTTATGCATAGAAAGGTATACTATATAAGAAGGTGCCTTTATAAAGTTCCTGAGAAAATGGAATTAAGAGATAATAGAATTCTTCCAAAACTGTTTTAAGTCTCTTCATACTAGACAAATAATTGACTGTTAAATACGAATTATATCTCACTGCTCCACATTATGCACAGCAGGTTTAGTAATAGCACTTGTTCATAATCCAGAGACTACCTGTATGTAATATGGTGTTTGTACAATGTCCACATTATATAACATCTAATTGTACAGAATGTATCTGGACATTAAGCAATGCATGGCTGTAACTATATATATCTTCAACTACACTTGGCATATTAAGTTGCAGACAACTTATGGTGTAATAATGCCAACAGGACTTTTACCATCCTTAATGGTTAAACCAGGCGTCCTCAAACTACGGCCCGCAGAAGACATTTATCCGGCCCGCTGGGTGTTTTTGCCTCATTTGTTTTTTTACTTCAAAATAAGATTATGTGCAGTGTGCATAGGAATTTGTAAATCGTTTTTTTTAAAACTATAGTCCGGCCCTCCATCGGGTCTGAGGGACAGTAAACTGGCTCCCTGTTTAAAAAGTTTGAGGACCCCTGGGTTAAACTGTACACTTTAAAAAGATGAATTTTACCATATGTAAACTGTACACTTTAAAAGGATGAATTTGATCATATGTAATATACATCTCAATAAACCTGGACCCATGATAAATGCTACTATATGTAACATATATCTCAATAAACCTGGACCCCTCTCAAAATAACTTAATATAAAATACCTTTAAATTGTCAGAGGTCTTAAATACTTGCTTTAATTTTTAATGGTTAATTTATTCATCAACCTGTGATATGCATTCAAGGATATTACTGTTCAGAGAAGACAAATTACTCTAAAAAGGTAGTTATAAAGGATATGTTTAATACTGCAGGTAATAATTTGATGCAAATAGCCAAGTTAGAATGGAAGTCACTAAAAGTTGATGTTGATGTTCTGTGGGGAAAACCCTGCACACACACGCACAAACTTCACTGGAATAATCTACCACCTGCTTAATCACCAAGTGGAACATAACTGCTGCAGTACCAAACTCACTGACTAATCACTGCCGCTTGTGAATAATGGTCAGGTGGCTATGACACGGCATCTCTCACTGACCTAGCAGGTATTGTGTGTTACCCTCAGTCGTCAGAATAGAGGGAAGAACCAGGAGGTCTGTGTCACTGCTCCTTCCACAGCGTCTCCCGCTGTGCCTGGTACACAGTAGAAACTTACTAAAGGGCGTTGAACAAATGCCTGAGTGAGCAGTCAAACAGCCAAACTTAACCTTCCTTTTCCTCACAAGGAAAATCCCTCACCCTAGTGATGTTCTAACAGTCTTTTTATAGTTTTCTCCACAGTGGAGGAGAAGCAAGCGATCGGTGGTGGGGTGGGGATGGAGTGGGAAGAGGCTGGTTGGTAGGAAAACAGAAAGCCAATTGCTGTTAAAGCAATGCTGTAAGACTCGACAGTTGCGAATGCAGCAGCTGGCAGTCAGATGAGGAGGAAGGAAAACGAATCAGATGTAAGAACTCAAAAGGGCCAGGGACGAGGAACTGTTTGCTACAGGGGTAGGTATCGCGGTGCCTGTAGTGGATGTCCATTCCTGCTGCGTTCTCCCCCACGACAGTATCAAGGAATGATGAGATTATGAACAGTACTCTGTTTAGCTTGAGAGAGAGTAGGTGTATGACAATGAGAAAGTGTTTATGAAAGATGGGTACAACTAGACTTCTCAAAATACAAAACCAAACCAAACTCACTGCCATCGAGTTGATGCCAACTCATACTGACCCTATCGGACAGGGTACAACTGCCCCCAGGGGTTTCCCAGGCTGGAACTGGTTATAGGAGCAGAAAGCCCCATCTTTGTCTCATTTAGTCTGAGTACATGAAAAAGTTCAGCTATCCCGAGAACTCATTTATATGAAAGACCCCACTTCTCAATGACAGCATATAAATGGATAATCCCTGTTACTCAGAATTGGTAGAATACTCTTGGTTTATATATAATTTAAACTTTTAATCTCAGAACATAATCACAGTGGCATAATAAAAATGTATAAACTTATTTTAGACTAATATTTATTTCAGATAAGTATTAGAGAACATCTTAATTAAATGTCACAAATACTCTGGCAAAATGTCATTAATATACTAAGATTATAATAATTAAAAAGCCAAAGATCCAACCTTTACTGTCAATGAAGACATATCCATCAAAACGGTCTCTGAAAAGGAGGATGTCATCAGGATTTCTAAAATTAATGTATGCTCTTGAGTAGAGATGAGGATAAAGGCTGAAATAAGAGGCAATGGTTAGTAAAAAATACAAGATTTCCTTAATTTTGTCTTTTTTCCCCTTTGGGTAGAACAAACACTTTGATAAAACCTCTACGCCAAAATTCGTGTCTCAGTTATTTCTAATAATCTAGATAGTGCGGAGGGAGTTAACAGACACTGATAACAACTTGGGAGAGACAATTTAGAGTCAGTTTCCCTATGATCCAAAGCCAGGATGCAAATACTGGTCCTCCGAGGTTAAAACACTAAAGAAAAGTTTACTCCTTCATTACACATAACTGGCATAGAACTCTGTCATAATTTATTTATTTCATTCCTCACTAATTTAAAGAACACTTTTAGATGTTCTAAGAGTATTTATGTCACACATGATACCACACTCAAAAAGATCCTTGAAGTCTACAGGAAGAATTAGGCCTTCCTCAACTCCCGCCTACAGCCACCGACTTTCCTTCCTCGGAAGGGGATTTCAACCCCTAGTTCAGGGAAGCACACTGAGGTCCAAGAAATTAGTACTTGCAAAGGGTATGGTTAGTTGAAAGGTGGAACTGGTATTCCAATCTGGCTCACCGAATTCCTAATTCTTTTCATTAGTTTTCCCCCTAAATTTTAGTCACGTGAAAGTCATCTTTGACTGCCATAATAACGATTATAAAGATGCAGTGGAAAACAACTAAATTCCAGTGGCATTTGCTGTTTGCTAAAAGGTCTGAACTGGTTTAAAGATCAGTCCTCTGCGACAAGGAAGATAGGGAAATGTCCCTGTGATGTCATCCGATTACCACTCGACGGGAAGTGAAGAAGATCTAACTTGGGGGGAGGAAGGTATCAGTGATGCAACAGGGGAGAGGTGGCTTCCAGCCACTGCCATGGAACGGGTGCCAGTCCACAGTGCCCCTGTAGGCAAAATAAAACCTCTCCCGAGGGTTTCTGAGGTGGTGAATCTTTATGGGTACAAAGTGTTATCTTGCTCCCTACGAGAGACTGGTGGCTACAGACTGCTGACCTACTTAGCAGCCGATCGCTTCATCCACTCCTCCACCAGGGCTCCACAGTGGGGTTCAGGAGTCCAAGGATATGTGCTTTATCTGGTTGTCAGGCACATAGACTCCACACTTGTGAGAACTCATCTGGTCCCATATGGATGGCAAACTCACGTTTGGGGAGTTATATTTCAATATAACTTAATAAGTTAAGGTATGTGAAATGAACTTCAAACAGTAAGAAGTTAGAAGTCTGTTTCTCCTTTTGTACTATGGCGATGACAGAAGTATGCCCAAATTCTATTTTTGAGGGATTTAATAACCTCTCTACTTAGAAGTAACCAGCAAAAATAATGGAAGGTACTGATTTCTGAGGATGATTGGAAAAGAATATGGAGAACTTTTTTTTTCTTCTAATTTTGGAAAACTTCTATGATAACTGCCCATCAACTGACAGCCCCTTTCAACTTTTTAACGTTGCAGTTCCCGGTCGCGCCTCACCTGAGATCAGCAGTACAGAATTCAAAGTAATCGTGCGCAGGGAGCGGGTGCAGCTGCTCTTCCAGCTGCTCCTTGGTGAGGCTGGGAGGAAGCCGCCGGATGACAACCTGAGGAGAAGACCAAACTTTTGTCCCCACCCTTAATGGATTAAGCCTCAATCCGTTAACGCCCAAAGGAAAATCTAAGCTAGGCGTCCAACAGAAACACACTTCAGAAACAAGGCAAAATATGCACGTTGAACATGGCTTTCAAATGGTACAGAAAAACAAACACACAAACAAAACTCACTGCCATCAAGTTAATTCTGACACACAGCCGACCCACTAGGGCAGGACAGAACTGTCACCCTGGGTATCTGTACAGAGACTGTCTTTCCCGGAGGAGCACCTGCTGGTTTCCAAGTGCAGCCCAGGTGGATCCAAGCCAACACGTCACCACTAGGCTACTGGGGTTTCAAATGGTACAGGGACTTTGGAAAAGGCTGTCTTTTTATGTACTCATTCCACCCCTTCCTCAAGCAAACGGCCATGATATATACTGTTTGTGCCCACATTTACAATGAGAGCTTCCTGCACGCTTCCTGTCTTATGAAGTAAAATGAGAAAGCAAAACACATCCAGAAAAGAAGAAAACATAAAACACAGAGAAACGTCGACGGCATCCTGAGGTATAGGGCTCTCCCGTCTCACTGGTTAGGATCAGTACAGTCTCTCAGGCCAGTCTAAGCACGGGTCTACGCCTTATCTGGTAATACTTTCTGCAGCCGTCAGTTTCAGTCTCCTTTGTCTCTGGAAATCTTCCCAGCAGAGTGGGACTCTACCAACTAAGCAATCGCCCACCTTCTCGTGACCGGTTTGGGGACTTCTCAGCAGTGTCCTGCTTCAAATCGGGAGCCGTCTAAAACCCCCATCTGTAGGGGTGGTGGTTAGCAATAACGTTAGTTTAGAACAGAAAACAGTGATGGAGTGGGACGGGTAGGAGGAGGAAAACGTCGTCTTGCTCTTATCGGTCTGGTGTTGGTGAGTCAAGGATTTTAAATCCAGCTAAAAATTACTCATAACTCTCCAATTAAAACACGCAGTTCGAAAGTGCAGGAAGGGTCTCCCGGTGTCCCCTTCCCCAGCCCCAATCCTCAGCTACTCAGTCGGCAAGCACCCCCCAAAAGGTGCCCGCTCCCACTGCGGCGCTCTCCGCGGTACTGAAACCACCCGCTCCCCCTCCCCCTCCCCTGCAGGACTCCTCCACGCCCCGCCCCTTCCCTCGCCCCACCCCCTGCCGCCCTCGCCCCACCCCCTGCCCAGACCTTGCTCAGAACCGTCCTCTTCTCCTCGCGTGGTTTGCTCGCACCGCCACCCCCACAGCCAGAGGCGGAGGCCGCCAGTGTGTCGGCCTCCAGCCGCGGCGACTCCCAGCGGAACTGGACCTCCATGGCCGGCCCCCCGCGGTGGGCGGGCGCTGACGGCTTTTCCCTCCCACTCGAGCCCCGAACAGCCGCAGCAGCCCCGGAGGCCCCTGTCCCACCGGCCGCGTCCTTTTCGGAACGCATCTCGCAGCGGCCTCGGCTTTTCTGGATCCCCTGCCCCGAGAGGCTGACCGAAACCTCGCGAGAACACCAGCTGCTTCCGGTCTCCACTCTCGCGGCTCCCGCCCACGGCCTTCTGCATCCGTCCCGAAGGCCCGGGCGTGCGCAGCTCCGGGCCGAGCGGCGTGTGCTTGGTTCCGGTGGGAACGCGCATTTTCACGGGGTACGCCTTTGGCAGTGGTCCTGCCACTTCGAGATCACTGGCTTTCAGCGATGGTGAAGATGGCTGACATGGCCCTCGTTCTTTGCGAGCCCCGCGGAATTAGGGAGTTGTACATGAGGGAGGAAAGGCACCTCCCTTTTTTAGCTTTTTTTTTTTTTTTGGTCACTGAGGGCTCGGTCAACTGACAGCATAGCTTCAAGTGAGAAACCGAATTTTTGGTCCCAGCTGGTGGGGAAAATGGCCCTGCACTGCTGGATCTCAGTTCCCCATGTAGAAGGGATGGCTGTTAGACCACACGTTCCTGAGGAATGCAAGTGCTTAATGAAATGTTTACAGCGATTCCACCCCCACACACATATATGAAATTTTATTAGGGACGACAGTTGACAGCTTTAAAAAGGATCAACTTGGTGTGCGAAGCATTCCGATACAGAATTTTTTAAAGCTTCCAAAAATACGGAGCATTAAGGTTTCCCCGTATCATTTTAAAGCACTTTAAGTTTTAGGATGAGGTTTTAAAAGTAGATTCACATATTTTACAAACATGCAGGCAATAATAACCCTGGCAAGAATCCTAGATTAAAGTTATTTGGAATTTATTGTTAAATCTCATGTTTTCTTTTTCGTGTTTAAAAAAAAATTCATCTTGACTATGTTTTTTTTTTCCCACCTATAATACATTTATTAAGAGTTTCAAGCACACACGGAATTGAGAAACATCCATTAAAAATTTTAAAGGAGCTTAATTCAGTTCAATGCTTTATACTTCAACCACCATCTAGGAACACATTTCAAATGTGATGTTTTAAATGGGCCAAAAGACTCATAAAGTGGTTCCATAATTGAGCTCTCTAAAATCCCACAAAATGGGCTTCTCAGAAAGTCCAGCAACTAAAAGGCATTCTGTATTTGAAATGCACCTATGATAAAATGGCATAGGCTACGGCAAGTTTCTTTCTTTTGCGTCAAACGATATAGTTTATATGCTACAGCTATGTTAATCCAAACCTCTGATGCTTTGCAGTCTTTGAAAAAGTATAGGAAAATGTAATTGCCAACCAAAATCTTTTCCTATATAGTGTGGTTGGGAAGTTGGAGCAGAATAATTAAAACAATCCATTTTCAAATGTTTTGGCAATCTTCAAATACAGAACATATATTTGGAAAATAATTTTAAAAAAACGTTCCCAATATATTTGCCAGTCTTTCCAAATACTTTTCAGACTTAATTGTCACCAAACTCAGGATTTTAGTTCTTGAATAATGTTACTACTTTGGGATAGTAAAAGAGAGGCTAAACCTCACACTTTTCTATCTATAAGAGTCACTGAAGCATGTTTGCTTCAGAAGAATTTATTGATGAGCCCCAAACCACAAAGCATGGTCATATGGAAGACATACTTTGTTACTTCTCATTAGGTCAAGTCATGTGCAGTGTCTTCTGATAATTTCCTGTGTTCATATTATTTTCCCCGCACCACGATAATGCCATGGCTTAGGCTGTGTGTGCTCTGCTTAGAACAGTCTGCCCACCTTTCTGAAGTTCTTTCAGACCAGGTGAACATCCCTTCAGACAAAGTGAGCTCGCACAGAACCTTGAGCATACCTCCATTACTCAATGACGACCTTGTACTCTTAAGGGTTGAGGTACTTTCTGCATAACCTTCACCCAGAACTAGGACTTCCCTGAAAGCGGGATTGAATCTAGAAATAAACCCTTACATTTATGGCCAATTGATTTTATAAGTATGCCAAGACAATTCATTGGAGAAAGAACAATTTTTTAAAACAAATAGGCCTGGGATCACTGGATCTCCAAATACATAAAGTTGAACTCATGTATCACACTGTTAGCCTGGGTTCTCTATAGAAGCAAAACCAGAGACTTCTATCTATCATCTATCTATCTATCAATCAATCATCTATCTACCTACCTACCTACCTAACTACCTACCTACCTACCTACCTACCTACCTACATTATCTATCTATCAATCATCTATCTACTTACCTGCCTACATATCTATCTATCTATCTATTAGATTTATGTCAAGGAAGTTTTTACATATTTGTAGAAACAGGTAAGTCCAGTCTGATTAAAGTCTGTGGGTCAAATAGGAAGCTGGAAGTTTTTCCAGATTTGTGTAGCTGTGATGGCTGACAAACCAAGCAACAAGAAAGGTCACACTGGAAAACCACAGACTGGTGGCTGCAGAGTAGAATCAATTTGAGGTTGGCAGGTCAAATGGTAGGTCACTGATGCTCCCAGGGTCGGCAGGCAGTATGGCAGGCTGTTGATTCACGTCCAAAGAACTGGAGATTAATGAGTCAGATGCAGGATCCAGACTGCGCAGGAAGCAAGCACGCTTTCGACTGCATTCACTTACATAGGAATTAGGCCACATGCTTGAGGTAACTTCCTGTCACTCGCATCAGGGCTGTGACCTGAATCAGGGGGTTGTACTCTTCGCTAATCTGATTGGCTGATTGGTTGTTCCCAGCTGGTCCCATCATGGAGTTGACTGTGCTGTGTTACGTAACACCACAGGGAATCACGAGGTCTTACTGCCAAACCACTGAGAATACTGACCCAGCCAAGTTGGCACAAGACCTAATCATCACACCCCTCATACACCACAAATAACTCAGACTTACATAAGAGGTAAAACTCTAAAACAAAACATGGGAGTGCTTCTCCATGACCTTGGATGAGGCAACTGTTTCAAAGCTAGGATCAAAAAAAGAAAATTCTCAAGTAAGAACAGCATATAAACTGGGCTTGGTCAAAATGAGCTTTTTTTGCTTATAAGAACACCAAGAAAATGAAAAGAAGGCCCCAGAATGGGAGAAATATTTGCAAATCATATATGTGAAAAGAGATCTGTATCTAGAATGAGGGTAATGAGTATTGCTGTAAAATCATAGAAACTTTTGTTAAATTATCAAAGCATGAA